TTTCTAAAGAACTGAGCCTGGACAGTTCTCCTTTGAAGCCGCCTCACTTCTCTCTCACATAGGTGATCTCTCTACTCTGTTACTATTAGTTAACAGAAATGGGTTGAGGCTTTTATCCCCACATAAGTCTTATAGATACGTTGTCCCATTGAACCTAGTTCTTGGGATCTCCAATATTTCTAGGTTGGGTTTTCCTTTATAAAACTTTTTTCTCAGCAGGTTTGAGCTACATTCCTTTAGTCAGTTTGTAAACTGCATCACGGTTTAACCATTTGGTTGGCGGATTCGCTAGGTTATCTTTTGACGCAACATGGTCTATCGCAATAACCTTAGTTGTGTTCAGTTATCTTATTGAATTGCATCGACGACGAATGTGTCGACTCTTTCCATTGTACATTGTACTTTCTGCTCTGCCGATAACAGATTTACTATCGTAGTAAAGGGTTATGGCAAACACAAGTTTGTCTCATTCTCGAATGTTTTCAAAAGAGTGAAGAATCCATTTCGCCTCTTCTCTAACATCTCCCACAGCTACTTAGCCACCGGTGGTATAGAGAGTTGCCTAAGCCATTCAATATATAATTTTTTTGTACATCAAATCTGAGTGTTTCATGACTTTCAAAATTTGTGTTTTTGTTTTGTTCTTCCGAGGTCGTTCCGGCACAACAGGTGCAACCTTCATTAGCCAATCTGTCCATTCAGCGTGGTCAGATAAAACAATATATTCTACTGCCATATTTTAAAATTCAGCCCAGTGAATTTTTCTGGCTTCTTGGTTGACGCAGCAACAGGCTGCGTTATATGGTCCGCAACAGCAATAGGTTGTATACCAAGTCATCTTGTAGCTGTCTGGCAGACGCAACGAGACCCTGCGCAGGTTCCGCAACATATGCTGCGGACGAGGCAGAAACAACAGGCTGTTTCACACGGGTATCAACAAGATCCCATTTTTTTTCTCCCGCCAATAGGCTAGTTGGAGGAGGCAACAACAGGTTGCGCTCCCTCAATCGCGGCCTTGAAGACCTTGTTCATACGCTGCCGGCGCAGCCTTTTTGGCAGAAGCCCTCTAGGCTGCCTCACTGTTTGGACGGGGTGGTTGAGGTCATGGAATATAGAGAACATGAGTGTGAAATGTTGGAGTTAACCTCCTCGTCTTCTTCCCCAATTGTGCCAATCTGAATATCATTTATTCAGATGTATGTCACTTCCACCACGGCTGTCCGGATTAGCGGCGGATTTCGGGAATTTCGAGTCATCTCATATTCCACCCGATTCACTTCAAGATTGTTGGAAAATATTTTGGTGAAATTTGAGATACGGCTAAATCCGAAAATACAAAATCAAATAGATGCGAAATGAAATTCGAGCCTCGCGTAGCACGCGATTTCTTTGAAGCGAATTCGGCCTTCCACCGATCGCCTCCCAGGATATAACGAATTGTGAACGGAATAATTCCGCAAATCGAATTAGAATGGAAGATAAATTTTCAGAATAAATTTTTAGAATTGATATTCCGTCTTCCATCCCAAAAAGGGAGGAATATTATATTTGGGACAAATAATTTATTTCTCTTTCACGTATTTAATTAAATACCCAACACAACTTTCCCCATATACCCAAAATGTATGCTCCATGAAAATCGTCTGGTTATATTCTTGAGCTAAGAATTGGTAATCCTTTCAGTTAAGATCAATTACAACAAACAATTTATGCATTGTTTCTATCTATTAAATGTCAATGTTTGCAGGTTGGCCTTGAAACAACATGTAACGATATCTATGTGACCGGCTCAAAGAAAGATCAGCGAATTCATATGTCTGGCAACTATATTTTCGAAGATGCAAACGCAGCGTGGCTTGCCCAAATTATGGACAGTGGCTGCAGCAACTCGCCATCTCTTGCAGACACCGGAAGCCTGAACAGTGTCTCTGATCTCTGAAGTTCAACAGAGTAAAGATGAACACTAGGATATCTATTGCGAAAAAGTATGAGGAGATCCTAGAGCACATTGTGGCATGCCCCTTAATCTGTGAAGCGGGTCGAGAGTGGAAACCAGATATATACATAAAGCAAGATCACAGTATGTTTTGGGAAATCAGCAAGCCCAATATTCCCCAAACGCCTCTTGGGTGGCATTCATTACTTTAGTTTTGTGTACAACTTTCCCCAATTGACCCTAAATGTATGTTCCATGACCATTGGTTGGTAATATTTTTGAGTCAAGAATAGCTAATCCTTTCAATTAAGTTCAATTTCAGCCAACAATTTATGCATTTTTGCAATTTTGTTCAATGTATACCAAGTAAATTTTACAATACTCATTTTCCAATTCGCAACCCATCTCTTAAATTGGTGGAATACATTGAGTTATAATCTATATATAATACATTCTCTGAGTATATGAGAATCATATCTCCTTCTACTTTTTTATTTAATTGTTACATATATCATGCATACAATGTGTATGTAGATTTATGCCCTTATGAGTCAACTTTGTGAATGCTTTTCTGCGTGCGGATATGTAGAAGAAAGAAGCCTTTAATTTGGTTAAATGTGTTATATATGTTTGAGTGTGTGGAATTAATTTATAGCAGCAATAGTATAATGTTTCAACTTTTTTGAATGAATGCCTTAAAAGTTATAAATCCTAATATATACTGAGTGGTTGTGTACCCTAGAACTAACAAGATTGCCCAAACCACACAACATAATCATACTGCGTTTTCGTATTTGCTTTACATCTGTTAACACTAATTTTAAATTCCATTCGTTTTTACAGCTACAAGGGTTCTGTTTTGGTTTTGTGGAACTTTAATAATTCAGCTACATTGAAAAACCGCAGTTTTGACATGCCATATATTTCTTCGGAGTCGAAAAAACATAATTTGGCTGCATTAGTTAGTTAGTTTCCATGTTTTTCCAATTGCATGTTTCAATATATGATCACAGAAAACTGCAGTTTCGACAATGCTACCTGGTTGTGTTTTGTTGGGGTAAAAAAATATTATGTGGTTGAGTTGGTTAGTTTCCATGTTTTGCCAATTGGCATTTTCAAATTCTAATAACGAATTCCTGTTTTCAAACCGTGCTTTTGACAATGCGAAGTGCTTGCGCTTTTCTGGAACCAAAACATAAAAACATAATGTTGATGCATTATAAATGATTGGTTTCATTAGTTACTTTTGTCGTCCTGCTAGCTACTTTATTCTTAATGCAATGTCTTTCCATGTAGTGTGGAGATTTTGTCATTCCTTTCAATGGCTTGGAGAGTTTTCATAGTCATGGAAGAAAAATAATTTTATCTCATTAAACAAATCCAATGATACAGTCTAAAATATACTACAATGGAATCTATGAAATAAGTAAATACTATATTTACTAAAAATACAAGGATATGTAAAAGTATTAATTTAGCCAAATATAAAGGCACTAATTGTGTCTAATACGTAGCACAATATGAAAAAATGCATCAACACTGTGTCTTGACGGCTCTGGCTGACGTCAACATATTGTAGTCACTAATATTTATAGTCACTACCAAAAAAACTGTTTTCTATTACGGCCGGAAAATCGTAACAAAAAGCCATATTTCGTGCAATTTGCGTATTTGCTACGCCTTTGTTACGACTTTTTTCCGTAATGTGTACTCGCGTAACGAATGTTTTTTGCCACGCCACTTTTCGTAACTATTACGATCGGTCAACGCTCCCTGAAGTATGGTATTTGTTACGATGTTTGTTACGAATTTTCTCTCGTAACGAAAGGTAGATCCTTCCGCGCGTGTGGCAGGACTTTTAGTTACGGTATTTGTTACGGAAGTTCCTCGCGTTACAAGTGTTTTCCATTGACCGGTTGTCAGAACTTGGTTTTTGTTACGACTATTTGTAACGGCATTGAACGCCGTAAAAAAAATATTACCTACTTATAGTCACGAAACCGTCTGTAACAACAAATATCCAAAGACCACTTTTTGTAACGATTTTCTGGCCTTTTGTTACGGAAAAATAGCGTATTGTGAAAAACAGGGGGTACGCTGCAATTGAAATTGTTCGTAACAAATGGACCTGCTGTGATGCGTATGATACGAAAATAAATTACGAATACAAAGATTGCTATAAACATCATCATCATTACGCCCCGCGCAAACATTAATTCATATTAAAATCTGAATTCCATACCTACCAACAAAGTAAAGCAACCCATAGAACAAGCCTACTAGTATCTACACATCAACAACCTGTTCCGCAAAACGTGCTTAACAGTTCAAACACAAGTAAACAACGCAATAAGCAAATACGGTTATCCATCAATCCCATTAGGCACATTTTTCACCATACGAATTCAAACCACAAAGGTCTACGCATCAATTCCAGACATAGTTCAACAAAAACTCAACACAATCCATCCAAAGACAGGTTCGACATTCAATCCATATGACAAACGGGGCAATTAACATGGGTGTATCGGTACCAACATTTCAAGCCCGGCGCATGAGCTGCAATTGCCAACACAGAGATTACTTTAAGTCATACTTCTTATAAATTTCGGAAGGCAATACAAGAAAGGTATTAAAGTAGATCCTTACGTCCTTGTAGTTCCACTCAATAGGATCTTCACCAACGACATCGCGAAGGGTAGTCGCCCCAGCAATGGTCGGCAAAATAAGGGGTGTGTCCGGGACTGAGGCGGATGTCACGAAGACCTTGACCAGGAAAAGTGTGTCACCTACAGCATCCACAAGTGCAATTTTTGAGTATATTGAGCCATAGATATCAACAGACGTTCAAAATGTATGTATAAAATGCCATAACACAGACATTAGAAGTGTAAAGCTTTGCAACTAGAACAATACGAGTATGTATATTCAGACATGTCGTACAATACATGGTATTATATCCATGAATTAGGTACCAAAGCACATTATGTATCCATGAATTACCAGTCTAGGCCCTCAAAGAGGCCATCTCCCTTTATGGCGGAAGTTTTGAAGATAGACCATTACCGATTCTTAATTTTGTGAAACTCTAAGGCCTCAGTTATCGAAGCATCATCCATTGCTCCAGGAAGATCCTGTAAGTCAGATAATGTTAAGCCATAAGAGAGTACACTTATCTAACTTGTGAGTGGATTAACAAGCAACTTCAACCGACACACAGAGTTAACAAGTATGCAAATGCATCAAGAAATTTATGCTTATCGTATGTAAATTAAGTGCAATGTTAATGTTTATATATATATAGCAGAAAGAATGGTATAAAATTCCACCTGCTTGTTAGCAAACAAGAGGACAACGGCGCCTTTTAGCTCTTCCTCCTGGCAAGGGACCAATGTAATTCCATATAAGAAAGAGGAAAGTACAGTCAATCATTAACAAAGATCATCAACAGTTTAAACAAACAGTGAACTTGATGTTGTCAAGCACCACATAAAGTATTAAAAAATATACAAAAGAAAAAAGTTAAAATTTTTCTAAAAAAATAATAACAATAAAAGCAATTCCTACCTGAAAACAGAATATTATTTTGACAATTTCACCTGGGTAAACTATTTATCCATGGCAGTAATTAACTAAATCTATCAATTCTTAGATACAGAATAAAAAATAAAACATTCTATTGAAAAGTAAAAAAGTATGAAAAAAAATCATTAGAGAGAGATTTTAACATGGATTTAGAACGAAGAAATGTCATTACTGCACAAATCCAATAGGCAATATTAGACAAGGTACAGACACATGTCAGTATTGTGTGATTGAAAAGAGAACCATTAAATTGGACAAATTAACTAAATAGACGATAGAAATAAAAATCACAAGTAATTACTTGGAACTTTTTTGAGTAATTAGTTACCTGATACTGGTCTGCCCACCTACCACAACAAGGAAAACCACCAATGTTACGAATAAAAAACTTCAAAATGACTTCTTAGAAATGGTTGGAAGAGAAACTACTAAGTAATCACAAAACCACTTAGCATAAAGTTATTTTCTTGAATGTTATTTTATGACTTCCACAGGTTAAAGTTATAACTGTGTTTTGTAGTTGCATTAAGCTTAATGGCCTAGATGCCTAATTATACTCTAGAATCACGACCCACCCTCATAAGCAAATCGTATGTCTATAAAGTAAATCATAACTTATAAAATCCTTCGGCTCCTTGATGGAAAGAATGAAAAAGAAAAAATAAGGAAGCAAGTTTAAAACATTTACATTCCAATCATTTAGCTCATGAGACACGCCGAAACTGCAAGTATAACAAAACAATATTCCTCCCTCATTGGTGAAGTGATTATATATATATTTAAAAAAAAAATATATCTTAGGCTAACTAGAAGGATAATGTTGACTTGTAGTCTACATTCTCTAAGATAAACCTACAATTATCTTTTATAATGTATGGCAGCATTTGAAACCATAGCCAGTGGCAACATTTAATAGCTGATAGTTGTTACAAATTCATTCCACTGTGTATTAATGTGAATAGTTCATCCATGGACATCATTTGTTTTCATGCTCTGGAGCTCTAATGAGAGTGAAAACCTAAAGCCAAGAAGTCCTCAACTTCTTCTTTTCATAATTTCAACATAAATCACCAAGGGCGACACATGACACAGTCAATAACAACCAAACTCAGAAATTAAAAATTAAAATGATGAACCCCATATGAAAATAAACAAATTCACGAGTCCAAGTCAAACAGCAAGGATCCTGAAAGCCAAAAAACTTTGAAAACAATCCCAATTCTATTAAGGATGATAAACTCACCTAAATCCCAAACTTGGAACTTTATGTTGTTATATTGCACTGTTTCCACATTGAACCCAATAGCTGTAAAATGAAAAAGACATCTACTCATTAATCAAGTAAAGCAAAGTTTCCCTAATCATATTTTCAGACTACACATTTCGCATATCACCATTTGTCATATTAAATTCTGCCTATGAAATAGATGCAGCAAATTAATGAACTCAAGAAAGCAACCAAAACAAGCTCAAGAGAAGAGAATAACATAAAACAATTAGAAACAACGCAAAATATCCAAAAATTAGCGCGTTAAATGTCAGTCAACCCACATTCATAGAATAACAGTATCGAATTGCTTAAAGTGAGGATAACAAGGTAAGTACTTGGAATAGTAGACATTACTTCGCCCATCTGAAGTCGATCTGCAAAAACCAATAGCTATAGAGAATTAATTAAAAGTCATCACCACGGCAAGTAGGCAACCACAACAACATGAATCGTATGAAGCGAAAAATGAGGCATACAAAGAATGGTGGTCTTTCCGGCATTGTCGAGGCCCAACACAAGAATCCGACCTTCCTTGTTCCCGAAGAGTGAAGAAAACAGCCTCGTGAAAACAATTCCCATCTCACCCTCAATCAATTTGAGAGTGAATACGATGAATTGAATCTAACTATGTTATAATATATAAAATAAACAAATAAAGGATCTGATCTGATCCAGGCAAAGTATCAGCACCTCTTACCCTCCCTTTCCTGCACAAATTTGAAATAAAAGACGATGACTCACTGTAACTGGAACAATGAGTATAATTGTAATGCAAAAATGAAGCTGATTGGCATTGTGACGAAATACCTGTAGATGACAGTGAGCCAGGCTGGGTGCATCTCAGCTGTCAGCCCCGCGGCTGTGCGCGTTGTTATCTTTCCCAGTCATGATACAATATACTCTCATTATAAATAATTTTATACTCCAGCCATGTATTATTTTATCATTTTTATACTCTCATCACCCATCTTAAACAACAAGACAGAAACACAAACACCTCAACCCATACTGATCCTAGGGTAGAGTCGAACAGGTGCAGATTGAGATTCTTCCCTTTCAAACCAGCAGACCAAAAACCAAAATTCCAGAACCAAAATAATCATGTGATAAAATTACAACATTAATAAATCAAACTTCACAGGGCACTTAAACAATCTGCCTACTAGTTCTCTAACACAAGAATACGTTATCCTACCAACTAATCAAGTTCTGTTTATCACACACAAGCCATACAATTCCCAATACCACATGAGAAAGAAGAAGAATATTACGATGCCCTATATCGATTTCTCCTTACAGAGGACGCGACGAAGATCCGTGGATCGATCCTCATACTACTCGAGATAACTTAAAAACATTACCTGGACGCCGTGCCGATTAACCTCCTCGATCCCACCTTCGTCCAGTGCTGATTGAGAAATCGCGTCGAAGAATGAGATGTGCCCTAACTTTCTGAAATTTGCTAAGTGTGAAATCTATTCAGCACCGAGGAGGGGAATAAGAAAGCCTGCGCGTGTGGGTATGAAATCGTTCTTAGTTTTCCAAAATCGCTATAGCGTTTCTACCTTTTTTTAAATCCAAAATATATTTTAAATTTAAAAAATAAAAGGAAACACCATTTCTTACGAAGCACAATCGTAACTAATGTTATTTTGAACAAAGTCTACCAACTCCGTTTTTGTTACGGATTATTTTGCGTAATTAAAGAACCTGAAACGTTGACCAAGAAAATATATATTTGGTCACGGAAATTGTCGTAACAAAAACCATTATTTGTTACGATGTTTTTGTAACGAACTGTTGAGCCGTGGTGAAAGATCATTTTTTTGGTAGTGAGTGTCTAGGATGTTGTGGTAGTTAATATCACATTAACACATTTGGTATTCATAATTCAAATCACCGTTGCAATAGCTCAATAGCTGGAAACAAGTCCTTGCCTTGGTAAACGAATGGTTAATGTCACCCATAAAAATTCATGACTTCGATTCTTATCAAACTGTGAGGTGCTGTGTTTGGTAGGTGGTGGCGGCGAGGTCGATGCAGCGCAGCCTCTGAAGCAATGTATAGCAATTTTACAAATTGACTAATCGGTTAAAAAAAAAAAAATCCTATCTTATATTCCAAAGTCAATTTAAGATCCTTCAAATCTTTATTTGCATTATATAACCTTTTTTTTTTTCGAGTGGAATCAATAACAATATGAGTTAAAATACGACTATTTTATTTTATTTTATGCCAAGTTTTGGAAGATGAAAAATAGGTATATTGAATATGGGGTGAGATCCTCAGCCCCAATGCAATTAAGCCCCTCCCGCATTATCAATTAAATAGTGACAAGTGTGAAGTGTTATTTATTTTAATTTAAAGTTAAAACTTATAATTTTCTTTTGTTGTAACTTAATTATTCTTGATCAATTATAATTTTTAACCTTTCTCAATCCGGAACATATATGTGTATTTTATTTTATCTTCTTCTTTCAAAATATGACACTGCATCTAGATCAACAACTACAGTTGTTTGTATGTAGAATCATGGGTCATTTATGAGCACATATCCACAGTAAACAAAAATAAAGCTTAGACCATATGATTCACTTAAATGCTCGACACAAATGTAAAAGTAGATGTCTTGATTATGATAACAAAAATGCAAGTAGTAACAATGAAACTCTTTAATTAAATAATATGATATTATATGAGATTAAAATTTATAGTGAGGGATATATATATTATCATTTTTTTCATTGTAGTAAAAATAGACAAATTGAATATCGCATTAAAATCAGTTACAAGCAAACATGGGGAGCGAAAGAGATGTATACATGGTTTTGAAGGGAATGACTTTGATAAATTACGATATTTCAATTCCGTGAAACAAACAAATCCCAGAAGTTTTGTAGACTACGAGATTGAGCCAACAGCAAATAAATTGCACTGCCACTTCGTTTGCTTCTTGGCATGCCTACTTTGATTTGTCGTGGATTCAGAGCTACTATATTTCTTCATAGAACCCACCTGAACCGAAAGTATAAAGATTGTTCTTTCCTTGAAGTCACATTTGATACTAACAATGGTCTATTCATAATTACCTTTAATTCTGTAGATACGTTGCATAGTCATTTTCCTATCTTGTTATATATATATATATATGGTCTTCAATGATTCACTATTCTTGTATCATAATGTAGCTGTTGGTATTGAAAATAATGAGAAAAATAATAGGGAATTTTTTTTTTTTTTTTCTAATTTGTGCATATTCTTAAAAATAATAACCCAAGATTTAGAATTGATTTACCATTTTATTTGACCAAAGTCTCGGGCTACTTAAAAATGTTTTTATGATGTTCATTGAAATTGTTTGATTGTGGTTTAAAATTGATTTGAAATGAAATATTAATTTAAATTTTTGTTTAGATAGTATTTTGAAGTAATACTTTGTGAGAGAAAATAGTGTTTTTTTTTTCCTGTTTTATAATTCAAAATTAAAGTATTTCATATTAGATAAAAGTTTCTATGTTTTTTTTTTTTTATTTTAAATACAAATCAATATTATATCACACTTATATACTATTTAAATGAAAACTAAAATAAAAAATTTAATTTTCAAATCAAAACTAAATAAATCATAAGATTTTCCTTGTATAAAGGGTTTGTTTGTTTTGATTTTAAAGTGAGTTTTTATTTGAATTTTTGTTTAAATAATATTTAATACTGTACAATAATTTTATTAGATACAATAATATATTTTTTTATTGAAATCCCATGGATTGTGGTGTAATTTTTTATTTAAATTAAAAAACAAACACAGTTAAAATATAATAATTATAAGATAATTAAAGTAATATATATAATAAATATTAATAAAATAAAACATATAATATACTGTTAATAAATTAATTAAAAAATACATAAAGAAAGGTATTTAATAATATAGATATAGTATGTCATGAAAGAGTATCTAAAGACATTAGATAATAATAATAACAAAAAAAAAGAATAGTCTAGAATAAATTTACAATATAAATAAATAAAAATTATAAATACATTATAGAAAACGGTTAAGGCGAAAAAGGTGATTTAGCTTTTTGAAGCAGTCTCAAAAGCGTTCACCCAAATTTGGCTAAATATTTTAGAAATATTCCGGAATCCTTCTGGAAGGTTGTAGAACACGCTAGATCATTTGAGAACACCTAAAATATTCTAAGTTCTGGTAGAGTCTTTGTCCTATAAAAGGACTCCGCTTCTCTCATTTCGCAAGTTTATGCTTTTGTGTGATGATTTCCAGAAACACATCCAGACTATGATTAGGGTTTATTTTTTTATTAGGATTTTTTGAATGGTTCTAATTCTTTGCTAAATGGCTTCTGAGCTTGATTCATTTTGAGTTTTATCATCTTCAAATTATTTTAATTTTTTTTATATTTAATTAATTTTAATTTGTTTGTTTGTTTGGATTGAATTTTTCAATTTTCAGATAATTTTAACTTTTTTTATATTTAGTTGATTTTAATTTGTTTGTTTGCTTGCTTCAGTTGGAGCGATGACAACAGATTTGGGAACCGAAGGAGAGTGAGAGGTATGTTGTGGTCGGATTGATACGTGACAGTGTGTGATATAATATTGTTGATGTAATTTTTCAACAAAAATAAAGTAAAATTCAAAGATATAGAAAATATCCTTAAACTTGATTAATTAGTGCCTGAGATTAGGAATCTCTAAACACTGTATGGTACAGAAAATAAACTGGAAAATAAAAGACTGAAATTTAAAGTGGTGATCCCCAAATCTGACTTTGCTTTGTTGAAGTTGATTGAAGATACCTTGCCAAATGATGATTCAAACCAATATTCTCTGGGAAACCGTACCGAAAACCGTCACCCGAACGGTTACAACGTCTCCTTCCCAACCGTCTTCCAACCCCTCTCCTGCTGACACGTGTCCCCAGCAGACCAAAATTATCCCTACATTTCACTCTTTAAGCCGACCACAGACCTTCCGCCCTTTAGGCCCGACTGCCATTCTACAATAGTATGGGTCCGACTGCCAATCCTCCCGACTTGCAAACCATCTGACTTGTTGGTTCTGCCGCAGCATTCCGACCTGAGAACTTCCCGACCTGAGGGCCTTCCGACTTGAGGACCTCCCGACCTGAAAACCTTCCGACTTGAGGTCTTTCCGTCTTAAGGACCTCCCGACCTGAAAACCTTCCGACTTAAGGTCTTTCCGTCTTGAGGACCTTCCGACCTAAAAACCTTCCGACTTGAGGTCTTTCCGTCTTGAGGACCTTCCGACCTGAAAACCTTCCGACTTGAGGTCTTTCCGTCTTGAGGACCTACCGACCTAAGGTCCTTCCGTCCTGATGACTTTCCGTCTTGAGGACCTCCCGACCTGAAGACCTTCCGACTTGAGGTCTTTCCGTCTTGAGGACCTTCCGACCTGAAAACCTTCCGACTTGAGGTCTTTCCGTCTTGAGGACCTACCGACCTGAGGTCCTTCCGTCCTGATGACTTTCCGTCTTGAGGACCTCCCGACCTGAAGACCTTCCGACCTGAAATCTTTCCGACTTGAGGTCTTTCCGT